AGTTTTGAAATAAGACCATTTTCATGCAAGTAGCACTATAAGACAATCAAACAATCAACCAGTTTAGTCAATCCAGCAATCAATTTATCTATCTCTGTGATAATCTATTCAAGGTTTTCTATCAATCAATTTCTGTGATAATCTATCAAACGGTTCCTATCAATCAAATCAATTGCCACTATTCAATGAAAACATGGACAGTAATAATAAATCAACTASATTATCAGTCAGTCAGCCRGYCAGTCAGTCAATAATGCAGAGRAAAATRAAGAGGAGCTTGTMAACAGGGAACAAAGTCACTTGACTATCACTGGAGCCACTATAGTGTTTTGCTATGTGCTGTTAAATAGTACAGTAATCTGTCTTCATTAGTTAAGATTATAACAAACCTTTGCTAAGTTTTCTTTCATTAAATCTTGGATACCAAGAATCTTCTTTGCATGTTCTATCTGTTGTTCTTTGACTTGTTTTTCTTGGAGTCTATATCAGCCAAATAAACTGTAAGTCAAATTCTTCAGAATTTGTGACTGCTTGGACACTGCATACCAATTGCACTAYGTTGTCAACTTACTTGATAACTAGTTCCAGGGCATGRCCGAGKGACACAGGCTTCCCATTCATATAGTTAAAGTCTAAATGATGKGATAGATATGATGTGGCTTCCAATAGTCTATTGAACTCTCTTTCTACCATTTCATCTTTGTCTTTTGGTACCTAAAATTACAAACTTGACAATTGGTACGGTGTAACACAATACAGGTTGACAAAAATGACTTCAAATGAGTACTAAGGTTAAATGTACAGGAGATGAAAGCAAATATTGCAAACACAAGGAAACAATGGAACCACAAGTAAGAAAATGTTTCTTTCTCAATTCAACTGATTGCAACGAACCAGAGCTCTGTCTGTATATAGGTGTACAAAAGTGTCATGAATGCCACAATTAAGTATTAAGAATTTTAGAATTATCATTGTATATAATTCAGTTTATAGAATGAAATTCTCTACAAGTAAAATGCAGATAAAAAAGTTCAGTCAATTCACCCTAATAGCAGCAGATCCAGTGTTTTTGAAAGACCAGGCGTGATCTCTTGGTGTCTAAAATATAATGAATAGAAATGCTTCAAATCCTAGCTGTGCAATATTGCTACTTGTCTTAGTTCTTTGAAACTATCACCTTTCTTGCATTGACCTCAACAGCAGACTATTTCATTTC